ATTTCCCCGTTTGTTGGACTTACTGTTTATTCTCCACCTGTGCAAATAAAAAACAAATACTGCCCATCCCTTGTGTTTGGCTTGGTAGATCTCAGCATGCCACCAACTTCAAAAGTAGATCTTGGTATAAAAAAGGTTGGGCACCCCTGCCTTACATCTTATATTCTTTGTCTTTTTCAGTGTAGTGATTGTTCCTAGTCAATGTTAAGCTTTTCTTTATTATTTTTATTGCTATTTTGCACAATTTGGTTAACTAAGTATTTTTTGTTGTTGAATATAAGAGATTTTGCAGATATATTTTTTATACTGATTTAAAAAACATATTACAACCTAAACAGGGTGGAGCAGTGTGGATACATGGAATGTGGGATTGAGGGGTCAGAGTCCATGAAAAAAAACATGTTAGAACCAATCACATAAATACACTTGTAATCTTGGTGGAACCAACACCCGCTGAAGGTAAAAGATAATTGGCTACAGTGTCTCTGCCCTTACATGTGATCAGAGCTCAAAACTGTTTCTGTTTTCTGAAAATTAAACTCACTCTGTCACTGAGAGGAGAAATGGAGCAGAATCAGCTGGACAAAGAAACCTTCTCCTGTTCAATCTGTCTAGATCTACTAAAGGATCCAGTGGCTATTCCCTGTGGACACAGCTACTGTATGAACTGCATTAAAAGACACTGGAATGAAGAGAATCAGAGACGAATCCACAGCTGCCCTCAGTGCAGAGAGACATTCACACAGAGGCCTATTTTGAAAAGGAACACCATGTTAGCAGCTTTAGTAGAGCAGCTGAAGAAGAATGGACCCCAAGCTGCTCCTGCTGATCACTGCTATGCTGGACCTGAAGATGTGGCCTGTGATTTCTGCACTGGAAGAAAACTGAAAGCCATCACGTCCTGTTTAGTCTGTCTGGCCTCTTACTGTGAGAAACACCTTCAGCCTCATTATCATGTGGCTCCACTGAAGAAACACAAGCTGGGGAAACCTTCAAAGAACCTCCAGGAGAACATCTGCTCTCATCATTATGAGGTGATGAAGATGTTCTGTCGCACTGATCAGAAGTGTATCTGTTATCTCTGCTCTGTGGAGGAACATAAAGGCCACGACACAGTGTCAGCTGAAGCAGAAATGGCCGAGAGGCAAAGCGAGCTGGAGGAGAGACGAGGAAGAATCCAGCAGGGAATCCAGGACAGAGAGAAAGATGTG